AAAGCAAAACTTAGAGGTGAAGGCATCAGAACCGAGAAATGATAAATGGTTAAAAAGATCATCCCCCTAATTACAATGCAATATCGAGGTAATCCATCTCAACTGTTAGCCGCAAAGGTTCGGCAAATATCCGGGGCACAAACAATTTTTACAACAAGAAAATTGAAAACATGGTTGCCATCCCTCAAAACTTCCTTTGCTCGTGAACTGAGATCCAAAGTGGTGTATAAGCTTCTATGTAGTGGATGTAACACCACCTATGTCGGCCAGACAGTCCGACATTTAGCCACGAGGGTCGATGAACACCGCAAAGGGGACTCCACAGTAGAGCAACACTTGTTAGAATGTAATAAGGAGGTAGTTGGTACTGCTGAGCTGAAGTCAGAGATTATAGTTCAAACGGCCAAGACTCATGAGCTACTCGCACTAGAGGCTTTGCGTATTTGGAGTGAGAGGCCGAGGATAAACACACGCGATGAATTCAGGAGCCGGGAACTAACACTAAAAGTATAGTCTATAGATAACATGGCTAAAATTTAAAAAACTGACATGTCAGAATCAAAAATTTTCCCAAATCGAAATTTCATAACCATTAAAGAACAAAAATTAAAAAATCTCAGAAATTTACAGGAAATTAATATCAATGATTACATAACTTAGTATGTAACTACAGTTGTTTAAATTTGATTGGTCAAAAAGTTTTAGAGCATTTTTAGACATGTTTTTCATTTTTCAGATCTTTGATCATTTTGTAAATACTGTAAAAAAATTTTAATCCTCATAATGCACAAAATTTGCAAAAACGTTTGAAATAACATTTTAAATTTCTTATAACTATTGATGAGACCTAAAAAATACACTTCCAAGATTTAGCTGTCATTATATCGAAAACAGGTTTTTTCATCAGAAAATCAGTGTTAGTATGGAACTAAAATGAAAACAGAAATGCAAACCTATCAAACAGCAGCTAAACATATAAGACTATGAAATTCAGAATTAAGAGTTATTGTTTATCTATTTTAAGTTAAGATCCCTCTATGGCAACCTATGGAAAAACATCGTGGAAAAAATTTATTTGAAGACAAAAGTATTTTTGTAATAAAATTATTGATGATGCACACACTTTATGCGAAAAGCTTTACAATTCATTCCTGAACATTAATCTCGGTTTTCTACACTATATAATCATTCTATAAATATTTATTATACTAGACAAAAATTGCATGTCCTACACTTGCATCATGCTAGTATAAGAATTTTTAAAAAATAATTCCAATGTTTTCGCACTTTTTGTGCATCATCAGGATAAAAAAAATTTTGTTACAAGGTTTACAAAAAGATCAATGATCTGAAAAAATAAGAAACATCATGTTATTGCTTATCATTTTGCAATTAAAGTGTTCTTTTTTTTTAATTGAAGAATTATATTTACTTTTTGCATTTTAAAATAAACGTTACGGGTTACAAGAAATTTAAAATGTTAATTCAAATGTTTTCGCATATTTTGTGCATCATCAGTATTAAAATTTTTTACAATATTTACAAAACGATCAAAGATCTGAAAAATGAGAAACATGTCTAAAAATGTTTCAAAACTTTTTGACCAATTGTTATTTTTATTATATAAACTTTATAATCTATGTTGAGATTAAGGGGGTGTGAGCCCCAAACATAAATCAACGAGGAATAACGTTGCGACACGAATTACAGTTACAGGCAAAACGCCAGGAGCAAGTGTTCTGAATATCGAAATTGTTATTGAAGTAGGACCAGAGGAACTTCAATAGGTGAGACTTCAGTCCAATGTATTGATGAAAGTTCACGTAATCAGGCAGTAAGTTGCATAGTCTTGATTAAGGAATAAATTCAAATCAAACTTCATATTAATTGATTTTTTTTTTCGTAAAAGCAAGTCTCTTCAAGCACAGTTCACAGCTATCACTAATACGCTTCAATTGGCAAACGCGTAACTATTTGAGTAAATAATAAACTTCTGAGTGCGCGTCGCTATCTCCCAATGTCCCTGAGACAGCCGCCGCGTTTCCAACTTGAATCGCAATGGAGATGCGTTGTTTCATGTAAAATGAAGACTTTGGTTCTTGAGTAGTTTCGTTGAGTTTTCTACCCAGGGTCTTGAGAAATTTGAGCGTTTGTGGTCCGCATCCGCCTTGGATCTCGAAAGCAACTGGGGCGAAAATGTATCCTCGATTTATTAAATCAGCGTATTTCGAAGTTTTACGGTTTTCGGCTTCAGAGGCAGCCGAGAATTGAGATGCAGTGCCAGAGGACAGACGGCTTGGTGCCAGGGCGTCGACAACAGTGGCATCCCATATGAGTGACTGACTTCTCTCCCAAGGCACCAACGTGAGTCCATCTGGACGTTTCTGGTCTGCTGTGGACAGACCAGGAGGCTCGAGAACTGAAGGAATGTTGCTCGATCCTAAAGCTCGCTTCACTACATCGTTAATCATTGAATGGCGCTGAAGCCTGCCGGCGCTTCTCCTGCACGAATGACCGTGGCCTCCAAAAGTGTCGACGTGCTCACCACAACGGCAGACGTTGTGACATTCGACCAGAATGGCCAAAATGCAGTCTCTGCAGAATTCGGTATTTTAGCAGCAAGCCTTCCGAATTGGCGATTTAGAACGGATAAGGACGTTATTTGAACGATTAGCCAAACGGTGAAGGCTAGAAGATTCTGGAATTCTAATTTTTAAAAATTCGAATTATGACGTCATATTTCTGAGAAACGTCAGAGACGGCCATTTTAGCTAAAATAGCAGAAAGAAACAGAACAACTTTTATCTGCGATTACGAACAGTACGAAATCGAGACTAAAAAACTACAACGAACTACCGAACAGCAGAGGACGTTCCGAGTTGCAACTATTGTGCTGTTACAATAGTTGCAAGGCCGTTGCGAGCAACGGTGAAGGGTAAAACCCAGCCTTCCGAGTTATTGTGAACTGGATATTAAGAAGCTTGATTCACCGGATTCAAGAATCCGGAAGGGTCTCGGGACGTGGACTTTTATGAACTTATATTGAATTTTAGCATCCGTCATGTCCTGACTTGAATTTAATTAAGATCTTAATTCGTTTTGACAAGAATGAGGAGCTAGAAGTAGGGGGGAAAGGGTTGATCCATCTTCGATGGAGATGATGATTTTTATCTACTGAACAAAAACAATAGTAATATAATAAGTAGTAGCCCTGTTTTTAGGAGTGACCTCGTGGTCTGGGGATACAGAGACCCAGCCATGAGCTCACTAACTTTGCATGTAATTCAGTTAATTTGAGCGTTCTGGTCGAAGCCGGGGAACAGTAACGTTTTTGTCAGCCTGATGTAAGAAAGACCACCGAAAAGTACTGGCTTGGTAGAGACGGTGAAAAACATGCAAAGCTCTGTTTAGACGCTAGCCAGTCGTCTTAAGACTTAGTTTTGTTATCCGTCGATATGTATCTTCCGGGCGAATGTTACACGTGAGGCTCACATATGAGAACACCAAGACGAAGAGCGAGAGATATTCGGAGATGGATATTGGAAAGCTTGAGGCCCAAAGGGCGGTGAGCCAAGCAGACTGTAGCTTACCCTCGAAAGACTTAAGACGAATGCGAGATTTATTGGCAGGTGCGTCGGTGATCAGATTATTAAACCGGGTTCTGTATACGGGGTCAGACCAAGACTTCTGAAAGTTGTTCTCGGGGATAGTAGTGGAGCCAGAGAGCTCATACCATTGTAACAAGGCTCCTTCATACAAAGGGTCTGAGAAAGGCTTATTGAGGATTTCGGAACAAAGGAGTGAAGAACTGCCAACAGACGAGAGATACCCGCATGCGGCAAGAACAGACAACAGAGGCAGATCCTAATCCGAGACCACCTATCCGTCTTGGTACTCTATGCCAGAAATTAGTTCCGCTAATGTCCAACCGCACTTTTCTTAAATTATAGTTCAAGGTAGTAGACGACCTGGTGGCATACAGTGATGCTGGTGTTGATGAGAGGTAATGATCTAAGTCTATCATATAATCGCCATTGATGAGCCAAGAGAAAAATAGTAAATCGATAACTTGAAGACATAAGGAAATGGGAAGTAAGTTCAATGCCGCGAGTCTTTCTTTGTATGACAGATCATTGAAATCTAATATCCAGTTTGTAGCTCTTCGTTGAACCGATTCAATGGTTCTCATGTCGGTTTTAGACGGACACCAAGCTGGAATACCGTAACTCAAGATCGGTAAAACCATTGATTTGTATAGATGAAGTTTTTGTTGATATGGCAGTAGACGAGACACATTTCGTTTGACCATGTGAAACATTTTGTTTGCTCTGTCACAGACTTTCTGAATATGGGAAGTCCATTTTAACGTGTCGGAAACTGTTATCCGTTAGTCTTTCTCGCTACGACTTTGTTCCAAATAGATGTTATTCAGCTTCAGTGCAGGTGATTGCGAATTGGCGCTGAATGTCATGATGTGACATTTCGAAGCATTAAACTCCATTGAGTTTGCGGTACACCAACGTTCACAAATTTGTAGATCTTCCTGAGCCGGCGAGTAGGCGTTTCTCTTCAAAATATCAAGGAATTTGCTATCGTCGGCAATCAAATTTAAACAACTGTAATTGCATAATAAATTACCTAATCATTGATAAAATTTTCCTGTAAATTTCTGCGATTTTTTAGTTCTTGTTCTTATACGTTCCTTGGCTAAGAACATGTAACTCGACACGAGAAAAAAACAATATATTATGTAATCCAAATAAATAATTTCGTTGTTTTGTCATTTATTGTGCCGAGTACGCACGCGGCACAAATTATTTTTAATTGAAGAATTATTTTACAATCAACGGGAACCGGATATGTGTAGATTTACTGCGCTGCGATCTTTTATTTCAGCGCTTGTTTTTTCCTTGGTCCTGAGTTTAGAATTCTGGGTTTGATTTTAACCTAAGATGTTTTATAGCGTGTTTTGCTTTAGTGATGTCGCATTGATAAATTTCAGATATAATGTCCCTTGTGCTTCAGCGGCTGGACTATATCAATTTAGGGCAAATAAATACAAAATGCTTAGAACTTCTTCCAGGCAAAGAAGGCCAAACTCAGGTATCCTCATCTCATTAAATCAATTAATCGTTTTTGATGTCTTTACAACAATAATTAAAACTATTGCAAATTTGATTTAAGAAAGTGGTAGTCGCTGATAGAAATGACAACTTGATAGTTTTTGGCGTTAAGAAAGGCGCAACCAGTACTGTGTTCAAAGCTCCACTCCAGAAACAGGTTGATGTCATAACGTTAGGTGGTCAGCTCGGAAGCCCTTCGGACAAAATTTTTGCAGTGACACTTTCAGATGTGAAAGCTTTCAATCGAAAAGGCAAGTATCAGCAATTAGCAGAAACGTTAGAAATGCTGCACCCGTAAAGCTTTTTTTCCAATAAAGCCAATAATAAATTAGCTTGAGCATGCTTTAGCTGAATTATGATAGTACAAAACCTGAATACTCAAAAAGCCAATAATGGAAAGGACTGAACGTAAAGTTTGAACTAAGAAGTTTGACGGAGATAGTAGCTCGCATTTGCATTTTTCTCTCATTCTTATTGGGTGATCATTCTCATTTCCTAGCACAAACAACATATTGGCATTTTTCTGGCATAAAATTGTAGAAATTGGTCCTAGGTTCCAAGGTAGAAATTTTCAGACTGTAATGCAGTTTGCATTGTTAACAGCTACTTTTTAAAATTCATATTAACTTTTCTTTGCGCACAAAGTTTTCAAGGTGCTTCTGACGTTGAAGACTTTGTAGCTATTCTTAGAATTTAGCGGGGAAGAGCTGAGTTCAAAAGATTCTTCAGTTTTATTTGTTCTGATGTCATTTTTGTCTTGCTAGTCTTTATTTTTTCGATTTCATGACCTGCTATAGTTGTTTCATCAATTTATCATAACTGAATACGTTTGGCCAGACAAATGTCAAGATTTTTTCAAATCAAGAATTGAAAAAAAAGAAATTATGTAGCGGTGAATTTTTTCCATTGAAAGAAGAGATTTTCACTCTAAAATAACTTATTTTTTTTAAAAGTGCTTTTCTATCTAAATAGCGCTCTGCTAAGTTTTTATCAGCTTACTTAGCTTTTGCTACACTAATGGACGGTCCAAGGCAAGCGGTAGTTCTGATCCAAATAAAATGTTTTCTGACTTTTAGCTTTAATTATTACAGTTTTACTCAATATTGATTCTAACTTCAGCTTTCTTTTGTATCTTGGTCTCAGTGATTTGCAAAGTGCTGCAAATGGTCCTTTTTTGTATTAAAAATCAGCGCACTAACAGCCATCGCAATCTTAACATAATGTGTAAGTGCTGCCAGTAGTAATAAATATTTTTGTGTTCGTGTTCAGTACCATTTTCACTAATTTGAGATAATGAAAAGTAATTTAAAAAACTAGTTATTTAATTATAATTCACTCTTTTGAGATTGTCTAAAATTGTAGAAAAAAAGAAGAAGATGGCTGTCCGAAAAAATGCCTTTTCGGCTACGCCTTTCTAACCAAAGGGCATAAATGGGCGTGGGACTAGGGTTGATGTTATATTTCTCACAAAAGTAGCTTTGTAGATTTTTCAGATCACGCTCAAACTCAGTTTTTAGCGGTTCGGTTTTTGATTTTCGGAATTCACGTCACTATCATTTGATAAATGGAAAGCAATTTACCATCTCCAATAACAAAAGTAAACGTAGTACGGAGAAACACGTGAATCTGACAAATTTGTCGGAAAGTGGATTTGCTTAATTTATAAACCTCAATATTTCCATGCCCGCCCTTCCTATGTAGTCTAGAGGTAAATTGATTGCCTTGGGAGCCTAAGAATTTGAGTCATGACTGGACGTTACTTTTTGTTCCGACAATTTGAAAAATGGGGGAAAACTTCGGGGGGTAACCTTTTGTTCCGACAATTTGAAAAATGGGGGAAAACTTCGGGGGGTATTTTAGTTTTTTCTTTTTTTTATGAACATCATCGGAGTGAGTAGAGTGATAGATCATGTTAAAGCTTTTTCTGTCGTGATTCGAACAACATTTAAAAATTTCCACAATGTCCAAGTGTTGAGAAAAACCGGTTTGAAACTTTGGATTTTTCATTTTCTAATTTCTTTAAAGCTCATTTAAGTAGCTTTGAAGCTTGCAATAGCTTAGTTTAAGCCGTGAAAACTGAGTTTTAATGGATTAAAGTTAATTTTTTTGGAGTATTTTAAGCGCCGTTGGAATCGAAAACTTCAAATATTCAAAAAGTCTGCAATTTGATTTTCGTTTTTTAGTCATTTTTTAGAGCAATTGTTTTCCAAATTGCTTGTGATAATATGATTGTCAAGTATTCCTAAGCTCTGTTTTTTTGGTTTAGATTTTTTATCACACCGAGCAGAAAAAACGACACTAATTTGAAATAAATTTTTGGTTATATTTTTAAAGGAAATGGTTGGAACATTCTGCGCTACTTGCGCAGTAACCAGCTATCATTAATTGTTTGTTTTTGCTCTGAGAAATTTTAAAAAAAATGATTGTGCAAAAGAATAGAAGTTTCGATTTGTTTTATTTTAATTTTTTGTACGTTATACTTTTTTTTTTCAAGAAGTCGTTTATGCCTAATTTACTAACTTTTTAAGCTTGTGTATAATATTTTCAACCACGCGCAAAAAACAACACCAATTTGAAAAAACTTATTAATTTGAAGAACTTTAATTTTGTAGTTTTTTTGAGTATGTTCGGAACATTCTCTGCTACTTGGACAACAACCAGCTATTTTTGTTTATATCTGGGATATGATCGTGTTATTTTTGTCTGCGTATTTTTGGTCGGCTTACTTATCCAACCATGGACTTTGCTTAAAGGCTCAAGGAGTTTTCACCGCTTCAGTGTAACGTAACTAACATTTGTAAAGATGAAGGCAGTTTCAAGATATTGTTTAATTTCCATTTTTTTTTCGCTTTAAAAGTTCTTCTGGTTTCTGGTGCTGGTTTCATTTTGCAAGCATAGTGCAGCTTTAAGTTATCCGGACAAAGCGAATAAAATTTGAAAATTGAAACGCAGTTTACTCAATGGACTTAAATTAGGGCAAAAATTGATAATGACAAAACTTGCTCAAAATTTTAGCAGAATTAGTTTGATGTAATTTATTTTGCAAAATTTGGGTCCTAATGTTTTCCCTGAAAACTACCATTTTTGGTGTTTAGCTGAGTGAAAATGAAGCCTTAATTATTAATTCTGTTTAAAAAGTTATATCTCAGTGAGCTTATTATGTTTCCCAACAAAGTGTAAGAAGAGAATAATCTTCTCAATTTTCGTTTGATAGCCCTTTAATGTCATTTTACTAAATAAAATACCAAGTTTTTGCGCAAATTTTTTGAGATTAAATCCTTCTTAAATTTTATTGCAAAAGTTTGGCCAGAATTTTGCAAAATAGTGTGCACCATATTGATTTCTCTATAGTTCTAAGCAAGTTTTTCATCAGTTTTATCTGAAATTGACCTATTTTGAGAAAAACGAGTTTCAAATTTTATTTGTTTTTGCCGGATAATTTAAATCAGCACTCTACTTATGTAATTGATAAAACTGATGAAAAAACTTGCTTAGAACTTTAGAGAAATCAATATGGTGCAAACTATTTTGCAAAATTCTGGCCAAACTTTTGCAATAAAATTTAAGAAGGGTTTAATCTCAAAAAATTTGCGCAAAACTTGGTATTTTATTTAGTAAAATGACATTAAAGGGCTATCAGTGATTTCTTTTAGTCGTTTGTTGGCCTTAGCTCGTTTGTTGGCCACTTGAGATGTTTTTGAACGAGGCTGTAAATATAATGCCATGGTGTTTTTGGATAATATTAAGTAGAAGCTCTTCTTTAGGTATTCAGCTTTTACCTTAATTCTTCTCGAAATATAAGTTAAAAGGCTAAAAATCTAGAGCTGTTCAATCTGGAAGTTGGGGTAATATTGGAAATTTTTTATTAACAGGGAAAAATTTTCTGTCCTTTCCCTCGGGGATGAGTGGGCCTGTAAAGTCGTGCGTAGTGAAGGGAAGCAGCATGTTTCTGGCGACAGATCACGTGTACAACAGATTTGTGGACTTGAAAGAGACCGACTATTACCTTCTCACGGATAAAATAAACTCGCTCTGTGTGCTCAACACTTCTGATACTGATATGCGTGTAGTGCTAGCATGTCAAGACAGGCTTCTGAGAGTGCTTGTGGGATCTGAGCTGCAGTATGAGGTCGAGGTTAGTTGGAGCATTTGATGTGCCAGAAACAAGATAGGAAACGATTACAAAAGTGGCAAATTATGGATATCTTCTTGTTGAAGTTCTAACCTGAAAAAAAAACAATTACAAAAAAAAACAAAATCGAAAAAAATGTATGGGCAGTTTTGTTTTGTTGATTGTTTCCATTAATTACCGAACTATGGTATCTGAACGTGAACTCTTTTCCCAGGTACCTGGCAACCCAACATGTGTAACATTACTGAATAGAACCGGTGGCTATTCTGGAGAGGAAGTTGTGTATGGAACGAGTGACGGACAATTGGGTGTCATCTCCATCGGAAGATCCAATCCAGACCATGGCTGGTCCCACTCCAACGAACTGGGTCGGGGAGGAGTGACCTGTATAGACTTCTACAACATATACGGACCCGATGAGCCATCGTGTATGATTGTAGGCAGAGATGACGGATATGTGGAAGTGTTCACGTTGTCAGACTTCGAGGATCCGAAGATTGTGTTTTCGTTTTGTGCCAACGAGTCAGTAACTGGAGTAAGAGGTGAGCGTGAGTTGATTGATAGTCTTTCTTCTGTATTGGTTACACAAACAAACACTCGTTCAATTTTTCCAATCGAAGTCGCTAGTTTTTTTTATTCAATTTCAAATTCCAGGTTTATTGCATTACAATCGTTCAAAGAAAGCTGAGGAATTACAGTCACTTTTGAGGATGTTAATACTGGCTGCTGTTGCGCAAATGATAGCGAGAGTCTTAATTGATACTTTGATGGATCTCAATCCATGAACCTCTGCAGAAAATGAGGATTTAACGTATATGCTTTTTTCTGCTTTTTTCGCGGGTTCAAAAAATTTTGACAAAAAATTGATCAAAATTGTTGAATTAATTGCAGGCGGACAAGTGAATTCAAGCGGAGTGGATGAAATCATAGTGACCACATACAAGGGCTGGGTGTTCGGACTAACTTCAGAGATGCAAGACATCGTCGTGCATTCTTCAGATGCGCCCCTGCCTACAGTTGTGAACGAGAACCAAGTGCAGAAAGTGACCGAGCTTGAAAACGAAATCAAAGTAATGCAAACGACATTAAGTAAAGAAAAAGAAAAGTTTCAACAGGCTTCGGCCAGTGCTAAGTCTGGCCAAGCGTATTCAGCAGCGGCGCCGTTTCAAGTGAATGACAAATTCGTGCTAAGTCGAGAAGACGCCAGTTATATTCTAGCTCTGGAAACGCAAGTATCACTTGACGTGATTCTATTACAAAGTGACGTTCCAGTGGACATAATAGACTCGGATAAGAGTTCGGCGGTGATGAGCACAAGTGAATGCGATCCTTCGGAGGGGAACTTTCTGCTGGTCACTTTCAGGTGTCAAGCCAACACAACCAGGTTTGAAGTGAAGCTCAGAACAATAGAAGGCCAGTATGGCACATTGAAGGTTAGCTATGGACTGCTTAGTTTTCTTTGGAAATTGGCTACTAAGGTTATAATAATGTAAAGGGTATTTTAATTACATTTTCGACAGCATGATTCTTATAGCCGGGTAATACTATTTTTAGCGGTTTGATTTATAAAGCTTATTCAAATTGATTAGCTAAAAGGAACCCATATTGCGCGAAAATAAATATATATGAAGTTTTTTGCTTTGTTTCACTTCCTTTAAAAGACAAAGTGACCTGAATGAGTTTATATGCAATTACCTTAACTTGATTTTGCCTAATGTGAACCTTGTTGTTGATGCATAAAACTAACGTTGCTTAAGAAGAACTTAACTGCAAACTGAAGACCTAATTATTCAATGGGCGAGAAGAATCGGAACATGTATTTTAGCTGAATTTAAATCCAACATCCTTAGTATGATGACATGCCATAACTTGACTCAGCCGGGTCCAAGAGCTTTATGTCTAGAGGTTTGGGTGATAGTAGGGTTGTGCAGTTACTAGTAAGTAAAATTCGTTTACTAGTAAGTTACCACTTTTTTACTAGTAAGTTACTTTGAATTACTAGTAAGTTCAAAAACTCAGGGTCTGCTTGAAAACTACCGAGTTAGAAGACTATTCATTTTACACCAACTCAAAATCAGCTAAATAATCATTATGATCAGTATTTTTAAGTAAAGCAGCGTTGCATTATATGAAAACATGTTTATCTGCTCTTTCGACTGATAATTGAGCCTCATTTCTTTCAAAAATTTCATTTTGGTTCAACTTACTAGTAATAAGCCTTATTTTACTTACTAGTAAGTTACTAGTACATTTACTAGTAACTTACTTACTAGTAAGTAATTTCGCACAACCCTAAGTGATATGTTACAATAGGTGGCAATTTTGAGAATAGTGCGTGTATTAAATTTGAGAACCATAATGCACAATTTAGTCATTTAATTTTCAATCACTTGTACTTACTACTAAGATAGTTTTTGTAAATACATTTCTCTGCCAAATGAAATGCTATTCAAAAATTCAATTTTTACTCTTTCGCCAAAAAGTGTTCCGGTACTACTATGAAAGAGTGGTCCCTTGAAAATAACCAGGTCCCTTGAGAATAAGACACCTAGAGCTCTCAAATCGTTTCATAATTATGATTACGCCTTTCAGAAAGATGTCGCAGTATATTTTCAAACAAATTTCATGTTTTGTTACCTCTTAAAACCTCCCCCTCACCAATTAAGGTTGAAAATTTAAAGAAAACCGCCAATAGTGGGTTTTCATGACAAATAAATCAACCCAATTATATGGTTGTTAAGCCGTAAAATAAAGTAGAGCGAGCAAATTTCAATATATCAACAACAGTGATTACAATTTTTAATCTGAAAAGTTTCTGGCTGAACATATTTTGCAAGATTTTTGAAATGAATAATTTATACACAAATTAGTTTTCAAAATTATAACATGCGAAATGCATGCGGGACCTGTCTATCATAGTTGCTTTTTCGAGGGACCACACTATCATAGTAGTACCAGTGTTCCAGTTAGGCTTTTGAAATAAATTTTAAATAATAGGCGAAGTATAACATACCACCTTTGTAATGTATCACCGAAGTTAGTTGTTTGATACAGGTGTATGTTACTCCTAAGACGCAACCAAAGTTCTGTCAAGTACTCGAGTACGTGATCAAACCCCTCTCACTTCACCAGAGGTCCCATTACACAGACGAAGGGAAAGATTACAACGAACTTACAATAGAGGGAAACTTCAGTTTGTCCGATATGCACTCGTGGGTTCGTTATTGTCTCCCAGAGGTATCCGAGAGACCTCCAGCTGCGGAATCGGTCAATCTTAATTTCGTATCTGTGTTTCTGGACACGGACCTGTCAATCATGTACGAGAAGAACAAGGCTGTCTTCAAATCGGACAATATTTCGACAATAGGTCAATTTCATTACTTGATCTGCATTGTATGATTTTAAGGTTTATGTGTGTATTCCAGCACATGTCGAAGAAGAACACATCACTGAATGATTTTCAGAAGCTCAATTCAAAAATAGCTTTTAATCCAATTCTTGGAGAAGTTTTAAGTATTGTTAATTTTCATCGATGATACTATATGGTGTAGTATGTAGTGGCGCCAGTATGAGATGCCATGAAGTTTGTTTTTGGGACTCTTTGAAGTCAAGTTTGGCCCTACATTTTGAGGTTGAAAAATGGATTTAACTATAAGAACTTTCATATTTATAGAATAAAATGTATCATCTTATAAAAGCTCTTCCATTCAGGGAAATGTAAACGATTAACACTTTCTTGAAAAAATTGACCTAACTTAAGAAAACTGGATTGATAGGTAGTTTTCATTATTCTGCTTATCGATCGAGTTTTCTTAAGTTAGGTCAAGAAAGTGGTAATCGTTTACGTTTCACTGAATTGGAAGAGCTGATAAAAGATACTATATTCTATTCTGTGAAAAATAAGAAAAAATATCATTCAAAATAATTCGCTGTACTTTTCAAACGCTTTTCCATTTGACTGATGGCAGCGTATTGAAGTCAGTTTTATTTCAGCCATTTTGAAAGACGTGATTAGTCGGGAGGCAATTAAACGGAAAGTGTCTTTGAATGCGAATGTAAGTATGGAGGAGAGCACTGTGGCCCATGTGTTGCGTCTCATCCATCCTAAGATGGAGTACCAGACCATGCTGGCTAAGAAGGTCCAATTGATTGACGGACTGAAGGACCTGCAGATGCAGGAGGATGACATCTCATTCCTAGCGCCAGAATATCAGGTACTTCAATTTTTATGGTAAAAAATTCACTTGTTGCGCTTGCGATTAACAAGTGCATTTTTTGGAAAAAAAACAGCTTGTCTAACAAAAGCATGTGAGTTCGCCAACAGACATATTTTGAACATCTATGAATTCTAAATGCCTCAAAGTTTGTTTTGTTGGCTGTAAGTTTGGCAACTTCGATTTGATCTATTTTAGTTTTTTTTAACAAATGATGAACGTAGTTCATAGGTCGTGATGATTTTGCATTAGTTTTTTTTTACAGGAAAAGTCTCAAAGTCTGTTCACATTCTATAATGGTGTTCCTGCGAATCGCAGAGGAGCTATCAGTAGGCCTTAACAGTCCTGTCGGGGATACTCAATTTGTATTATCTCCTCAGATTCCAGACTGTGTTATTTTGTTGAGTGAAGCTCTTTTTCGCGCCTCAAGGCCGTTTTTTTTTCATCTACAACTTTCACGTGGTACCACTATTGCAGCCGAAATTGGTCAGGCTGTGGTAGACCTGAAGCTAGAGGTCAAGTTAGAGCTAGTCCTCACACACTATCATTGCCATGGCATGGGATCGAATACTTGATCTGACGATTTCAAAGTGAACGCCTTACCACTACGCTAAATGCCTCTATGATCTGCCACGTTCATATTTGATTTGATTTTTTTTCGGTTTGACTTTTGACTAGGAGTAATGAACGTAGCGAGTACACTTATAAAGGTCTTGGTGATTTTTTTTTGTTTTTAAAGAAAAAAGTCTCAAAATTTGTTCTCACCCAATTTTGAATTTTCGCGGTTAACTTTTGATTTTTTTTTTTCAGTTCACTTCATTTCTTCTGTTAAAAGGAAGGCAAACTCTGCTATCCAACAGCAAAAGTGTGAAAATCACGAAAAACATGATCAACTTTGAAATGGGAAAATTATTATCAGATTTCCCAGCGAAATAAAACTTAACTTATTGATCGAGTTTTCTCAAATTGGGTTAAATTTATCAAAAAAAGTGAGAATTATTTGATCTTCAAATTCAAAGAGCTTTAAGGGCATATAAATTTTTAAATACATTTTTTTTATTTTGTTTATTGACTTCCCCAACTGTATGTTGGCTATGTTTTTCATTTTTTTTTTTCATTTCTGTGAAAATAGTTGTTCGGGTTTTAATAGATCGGAGTTCTTATGACAACATTTCTTTCGGCTAAACTCGCGTCTGCTCAAGTATTTTCGGCTCTGTAAACGCTATCTAAGTTTTATTTTGATGCTATTTCAACATTGGCTGTAAACCTAATTCGCTTGTTTTCCGCAAAATGAACATATGCAAAACGAGACAAACGTCTGAAAATGTTGGTTGTCTTTTTCGATAATTTTTTCAAACATTTTTTGAATTTGGGGCTTTCGTCTGATTTTTTGTCGGCTTGTAAGAAAGAAATTAATTTCCACTGTTTTCTGGTCGTGGTGATTTCTATTTGGGGGGCTATTAAGGTGAAAAGACTATCTTCGGTTTTTCTATGAAAACCTGCTCTGCAATTTAGTGCTTTTTTGTAACAGGAGATCATAGAACAAGAAAAGAAGATCAGAGACGAGTTCACCAGACAGCCTGCACACTTGGAGAGACTGTACGGCATGGTGACAGATCTGTTCATAGACAAGTTCAAATGCAAAGGAGTCAATGTAAGGAACAGAGTGGACGATCTAACTGCAGTCTTAGACGCTTACGACCTAAATGCTGTTCTCGCTTTCTTCAATAAGTTTTAGAGTTCATTGATAGCTTGAAATCGATTGACAGTAAGCCAGGTAAAGTGTTGGTAAACAAAAAAAAATCGTTGAGGAAATTGTAAAACTGATTCAGACATTTAGAAACAGCCAAAAGAAAATTACAAAAATATTCTTAAATATCAAAATTGATCAACTATGGAGTGTATATTTAAGTGCGTGATTGTGAATAATGAGTTTTGGTTAATTTATGATCAGCTGTAAATATGTAAATTGTGTATCAACTATTTAGTTTTACTACATTTATAAAACTTTCGACAGTTCTCTTTAAGAGGTGAGTACATTTGATAGAAGAGATGCGTGAAGGATGCTGGAATAAGGTTCATAACTTATTTAGTTTTTGAGTTGTCAATGAACTAATATAGGCCGTGCTTATTTTTCTCCGTTTCATGAAATCTTAAATAGTGGTTCACACTCAAGTTCGAGTTTTTAAGTTTTGACTTTTGGTTTTTACGCTTGCGATAAGCAAGCGTTATCAAACTGGAATATAGACTTTTTTCAGCTAGGTTAGCAGAATCACTTGAATCATTTGGTGTCTTGGTTCATAATGAATTCAAATTTTTGAGCGTCTCAGGTACACTTAGTCCGGAGGTAACGAATGCGCCTGGGATGCCAAAGGTCCTGGGTTAGAAACTGACCGGAAATGTTTTTTTTTTTAAAAAAAAAAACTGGAAATAGTCCGTGTCAAAAAAAATTGTCGGCTGATGTTTTTCTGCTGATGTTTTGTCCTCTTAGTTGCCATGTTGTAGTTTTTTTATAAGTTTTTTCACGTTGTAGTTGCTTTTAGTGTTCTGATTTCACTCTGTTTGTTGTTTGTGCTGTTTATATTTTTTAAAACTAAATTTGACCTATATATATACATAGTTTGGAATATGGTCAGGAACTTTGTATTCGGGTGTGTTTTAATTTTCTTTGTTTTTCACACAAGATCAAATCTGGTATCAAAGGTTTATCGGAGTGGGTCGAATGCTTTATCATATCAAAGACGTTTCTGTCGTAATTCGAACGACATTTGAGAATTTCAAGAAGTTATCTAGAAAAACTGGCTAAAAATTTTTCAGTTGGTCGATTTCGAGCGAATAAAGCTGAACAGGCCAAGCCAAGCCGCTAAAGATTTTCTTTGCAATTCTGTGCTCAATTTAATTGTGAACTGAATTTTGGCAATTTAAATATTTGTTTCCTCTGTTTTACTAAATTTTTTTGATTATCTGGTAAAAGCTGGTAACTGGTGACAGCAATGCGATCTGGCACAGTTGCGAAAGCAGTGGATTCGTATTCTAGAGGTCCGTTCTAGAGGTGGTTCCAATCCTTCAAGTAGCACTTTATTAAAGTTTTTCCTTCCGCTGAAGATTTTTTCTCTGCTGAAATTGGGAAGCATCGACGTATGGGTTGAATTGACGTGTCATAAAAGAGCGTTTCATTTGTGATTCGCGACCTACCTGATTAAATGTACTAAAGTTTTTCTGGCGTTGAAGAAATGGCTCCAAATGTTCGGTATCTGCACTAATTTTTCTAATTGTTTTTCAGAATAAATTGTAGTGACAGTGGTAATAAACTGATTGAAATGTTTGTTTTGTTAATTTGAACTTTTTGCTAAGGTGAATTTGTTCGACTTAGCTGATCGATTTTGTCATTCTTCAAATTAAATTAAAATAATTCTGCATTGTCAAGTTCTCTTGTTGATAAATTGCTTGTTTGAGCTATCAACAGGAATGAATAAAAGGCTACTTTTTAGTTCCTTGATCTGAGTTTTTCTTCAGATAGATTTCGACTTTTGATTGCATACCTCCTGGAATACTGACTCCTTGAACTCAAATTTAAGAAGATATTTTACCTTATTTTTGTAGAGATAGGCGCTCTGAAAACAGACAATTCGGCTAATTTAGGACAATGAACGCGCGATATATATTATTCTATTCCGCGTGTGCGCGTCGATTTGATTAGGCTCAAAATAGTTCTAATCTGATCTAAGTCAAGCTATTTGAAGCTATTAATACGTTGCTATACGCTTTTTGCATCACTCTGCACCGTACATGTCGAAATAAAATCCAAAAAATTAAATTTGTTTTCCAGTTTTTTTAATTTTTAACTGATAATTAACATAAATAAAATTCCTTGTTTTTTAAGGGCAGTCGGAAAATTTTTGGGCTCAGCCCAGAAAGAGTAATCATGTTGCTTCGACTTTCAAAAAAAGTGACGAATTCTCAAAAATATTTCCCTCAGAGAATCGATTCATGGATCATCGTGGTCCCAGAAGGGTCACACTCACCACTAGACTATCCTGACTTAAATGTTGCGGTGAAACGCTCAGTAAAAGACTAACATTTAGGCGTGGCGAATTATCCGGCATCACAAAATCGTTCCAAATTCAATTGAGGCAGGCTAATAGCTGTTGATGTCCATATACGATTCTTAATATTCAGCTTAAAATTCATAGTTTGTCAATAATTCTTCAAGCAAAAACTATTCGAGACCAGTTTATGGACAGTCGGATCAATCAGGGCTTTGCCCTGATACGAGCAGTCTTGTTGCGAAAGTGGCGGCTTAATTTGGTTCAGAAATTGTTCCAAATTGAATTGAAGCATGCTCGTTGCTAATTGCTAAATATATCACTTTACTTTAAATAGCTTGTGTGGGATAATTTTCAAAAGTTATTATTTTTTTAAATGTTTTTTTTTTGAAAATATCGTCGGTTTTTTTTTAGCTGAAGACCAATATACGTTTAGTGGAAACAATCAGGGCATCGCGCTGATACGAGCAGTCTTGTTAATAATCAGTTTCAGTTTAAGAAGTTTTAATTTGATTATTTTTGTTATTATACTTCTGTTATTTTTCAGATGTGATGTAACTGAAATTACTGTGAATTTACTGTGCATTCTCTGATCATGCAGCTTATTGATGAGCTTGCAAAGCTGATCTAGTGGAATTTAAGTTCCTCATTCAACATGATTCTCTTTTGGTGTATTTTATGAACACGCCATTTGTTGCATTATTTCGCATTCAATTTATATCAATATAACAGTAAGTGAAAACTTGCGCCGATTTTTCTGTCTGTATATAATACAATGCTTAAAAAATGAGTTGTCGTCATGTTATGATTTTTGACTGTGAAGTATATAATCGATTTAGTTTTTGTAGCTTTTGATCTGAAACAAGCTTGTCTGTGCTCTGCTCTGTACCTCAATTACTCTGAGTTACTTTTTCATTGGTATTTTATATCTCTTTGATTAAAAATACGTTATTTGAATCATAATCTTTGGTAATTCGGGCTTTCTCAAATCGGAATAGTTAATGATAGTTACTGCTACGTCTTGAACGATAACTTGACCTACTAGTAATAAGTGTTTGCCACGTTTGACTTGTACTGATTCAGTGGCGTCATTATTTTTGTGGTTTGCAAACTGAATATGAATATTCCTTAGCTGAAGTAAATAACCGTGACTACTATCTCCTTTAAACGGAGGTTGACCTCTGTTTTATTTTCTCAGCGAAATGTCCAATCGGATGAAGGATAGCAGCCGAAACAAACTCGAAGTTGAATACATTTGATCTGAATTCTAAATTCGTCCTTGTATCAATCCTTATCTTTCCAAACTGTTATTTTTAGCTATGAGAGTTAAACTTGGCCTTATTCACGGATTATTCAATTAGTTTTTGGTTTCAAAATTTCTCGCTGACCAAACCTTTGATTAGAAATTGTGGCTTATTTGACGTGAAGCTGATTACGGCTAATATTTAGTTCAAAATTCTTTCTTATTCGTTACTTAATTAAACGAAACGCATTTCTTCTGTATAGCGGACTTGCTCTAGCAGATACAGAATTCCGCAAAATCATCGAGAGCAAAACTGCCTTCAGCTTTTGCAATTTCTTATCTTCTCCGGGACTTACAAGAGAAATCTGATTACCAAGGTTCTTGTCTTTTACTTGTCAAGAACTTCGTGTATCCACTTAGGACTATCAGAGTCTTGTACAGACGACAAAGCAATAATGATACCCAACAGACAATGGATGCAATCTGTTCCTAGGGAGCGACCACTGTTCGGGGATGCGTTCCGTAGAGCAAATTACTACCCTAATCCGGTGACTACTATCGTGGCGGTGGTCAACGTATTCTGTGCAACGGGCACTTTCACTAAGAGTGCGCTTGGTCTCGTGGCTACCCCGGCATCATACTTCTTCGTGTATGTTTTCCCATCTCTCAAAGGTAAAAATAGCTCAATTTTTATAAGACTTCTTATAGTCAATTTGGTCCAAAACAACTTAACAGGGCATACGGAATCATTTCTAGTTGTAGTGATATGTATTGATTTGGATGTATGTAAGAATAAAAAAAAACTAAGGGGATGTCGATCGTTTACATTCCGAAAGGAGTTAAATAACATTTCAAAAATCTGTTGCGAAGGCTTCGAAACCATTCATTTCAAAAGCTCAACTTAATAAGATAAAAAAGTTTTCCTGAATTTTTGCTTCCACAATAAACAATAAAACATTCTTTCATGAAATGGAATTTTCAGTTATCCAGTTAAGCTTTTCTGACATCGAACCGAGATAAAAGAACAACCTCAATTGAAATTTAAAAAAATAGCTATATTGCCAAACCTGAGATTTATTTGATTGTTTTAAAGTAGACTTTCATATCTTTTTGTGACGATACTTCACAAAAGAGCTTTTATATGATCATATTTCATTTTCAATTTGAACGAGTCAAGCAAACTTTATTCCATTGAAGTGCTAAATACTTATTGAAGAGGAAACAAACGGCGTTTCAGTGAACATGCGCAACAGACCATTTTTTCCACCAATGTCCGAGGAAATTTAACTCGTGATTTAAACTATATGAATTGCATCCGCTCAATTAAGCCACTTGCTTGCTAGCATGATTTATATCCAAGCATATGATCTTTGATTGGAGGCAGTCGTGGCATAGTGATGATTGCAAATGTCTTGCTAGACATAAAGATTCAACAGTTTTTTGAAGGCCTGTCTTTTTTCAGGGCTCATTTTCTTTTTTTTTAAACATAGAGAGCTTCTGTTCTCCTTTTTCTTTTTCACTTGTGTATGCGATTTGCAGCTTAGTCTTTGTAACAAAAATCATAGGAATTCCTAGTGTCCAGGAATTTGTTCTGGAACTGCTATTGTTTCTAAGCACAAAACGTAATTAGGAATTTACCACTTGTACGCATTTGGCTTGATGATTTTTCTATTATGTAATATGATTGACCTTAACATTTCTAAATTAGTTCGTTAACAGATTTGTCTGTCCGCTATGTGCTGGCAACTTCAGACAGATATTAACACGAAGTCTGCATCAATTTATGAACAAATTCAAGAGTACGTATCGTAACTGTCAGTGGTGTGAAAGGAATATGGTGTACATGAACAAAATTATTTAACACGCCTGAAAAATCAATACGCGTTGAGTGAACACTTTCGAAAATCACTCAAATATGGTAAAAAATATTTGTCCTGATACGAGTGAACAAACTTTATAAATGTGAAAACCGTTTTCATCTGATGCAAGATTTATATTTAGCTCTCGGCGTGAAGAAGTGATGAATGAATTAATATTGGTACAAGTTTGGAATCAATCGGTGCAAATAAGAATTAGTTTCATGAAATTTTTGAGTTTTGATTTCTTTTTCGTTTAATGCAATAGCGGTTATAAGTTCGTGGCAGCCACCTCAGCAATGAAATTGTCTCGTTGGTAATAAGGTGCTGATTCAAAAATCCGGGCAAAACGCATGAAACTTTAAATTTAAAACGCGTTTTTTCTCAAATTGGGATGATTTTAGATGAAAACTGAAGGACGCGAAACTTTTTCAGATTTTTAGAAGAATTAATACGGTGCATTTTGCTTTGCGGGCCCAAATTTTACCCCAAAATTGGATCCTTTTTGGCTGCTTTAAAAAATTACGCCAAAACTACTTTGTCGATCAGTGACAAGTATATCAAAGTGTGCCTCTTACATAGCCCAGCAAATTGTCCGAAGGGTTAAATCTCCAAAACAAAATAGCGCAAAACGTTTAAAAAGTGTCTTAGAATAAAAGGATATTGTTTTAAGTTTTGACTGACTAAAACAAAAAATTGATCCGTTTTTGGGGAAGAATTTTGGGCCCGAATTCAAATAAATTTTTGGGCGCAAAAAAATTACATTACATTAATTCTGCTGAGAATGTAAGCAAGTTTTGTCATCATTTTCCCATAAACGTAACACAAATTGAGAAAAACACGTTTGAAACTTCTATTTTTATGCGTTTTGTCCGTATACTTTAAGTCAGCACTGTACGTCTCGTGACGACAACCAATTTTTGGCCGACTAACCATAAAGTTTTCGAAAAACGTCCATAATGGCTCTTTGAAAATTTCTGGTGCATTAGAAAATCAAGCGTAGTCAGAACATCTGCCTGTTTCGACGGTAAGTCGTAGATTCGCCCCTTGTGCAAAACAACCATCAAATTTCGAAGCTCTGACTTACGACAATCGGATCGATTGAGCTATCTCCCTACCCCCAAGCAAAAACGGTAATACGCTGTAAAAAGACATCAGCATACCAAATTAGATGGTTGATGTATTCATATACACAATCAATGGACCGACTGAAGTTCTTTTATATGAGTATCGAGAAAAAAAATCGAAATTTATAAGAAATTGTTTTTGCAAATTTTTGTACGGGCGAGCATTGCCTCTCATCGAGGGAAGTGAGTTACCAGGGTTGGTGCTCTAGCCTTGTCGCTGAAAACCAAAAACTGTTCTCAGCAGCGCCTTATTAATGTAAGCAATAGCTTTTTCCATTCAGGACCGAAAAAATGTCTGAAAACAAAAAAAAAACTAAAACACTCAAATGCAATGTTCTTCTCCATTTTCAATGGTTGGAACCAAAAGAAAAAGTAAAAACTACCCGAATACAAAGTTTCTTGCCATTTTCATTGGTCGGAACACAAATGTTTTGTAACGTTACTGAATCTGAACTTGAAGTTGCCTGAAAATTGTCAAGCTCGTTGCGCAAACAATGTATATTAAACAATGTTGCAAAACTGTTTCATTCGTTGTTGTGAGATTTTCTCATCTAGCTAGATTTTCCAAAATCACGCTTTTTCGCATTCCACGTTGCTTTTTTTTATTTTTAAGAGTAATGAACGTAGTGAAGACTCTTATATATGTCTTGGTGAATTTTTTCTAGGAAAAAGTCTTAAAATGTGCGTCAAAGTCTAATAACTACAGATGTCCATTCATACATATTGATGCATTCATGATTGCATTTAGGTATTTATGCACTTTTTGAGTTCAATTGAAGTTCATCTTCTCAAAGTGACGTAAATATTGCTCTCCAAATACGAACGTGGAAATGGCGCAAAAAAACGTAAACGATTTCTAATTTCGAAAGTGGAATTTGATTTTAAAGTTTCCTGCGGAATAAAAACTTTACCTTTTGAACCAGTTTTCTCATGTTGGGTTAATGATATCAAAGAAGCGCAAATCATAAATCGTTCTAGACATTCAAAGAGCTTAAACGGCATCTTATTTTTTCTTTGAAGTTCGAAAGTTTACTGGCGTTCATTACTAGTTTCTAATCCTCGATTGGTAATGTTCGATGTGTTATTAATTTTGCACAAGTTCCAGACTTAAATGCTGATGAATTTTACTCGCATACGTTTCATGCAATAAACATTGAATCCCGTTCTGTTTTTCTTAATGTATAAAAATGCGGAAGATACCTGAAAAGTTTCAAACCAACTTTCCAGCCAATTTTTGCGAAAAATGAATGTTTCAATCATTTAAGTTTTCGTCGCAAATTCTGTTGGGTAAATTTGAAGTTGAATGTTTCAGATGCTACTAATTCAGCTCTGGACTCTATGTTGGACGTAGCTTTAGACGCAGCACCCTTGAGGTGGATATGCCCCATTGGTGAGTCGAAATTTATACAACCTTTTTCTTTTAATTGATAAAATGTTTTTTCTCAAAACTCGTTGAGTTGTGTAAAGTAAAGGTAAATTTTTAACGAGGGAAAGGACCAACATACAACTAAATAAACTCTTTTACGGAGAACCATTTTTATGCCCCCTGTAACTTAGGTTATTATTTGGGCTGGGTAATTGTGTCTCAGCCTCAACCAACAATCACAAATCATGGTGGCCCTCAATCCAGCGAGATTGTTAACTAAAAAAAGGCAATTTCAGCCATATTAATTTCTTTTATTTTTCAGATGATGGCTTTAACCCGTTTGACGGCCTCGATGTTCGTTTTCTTAACACAAGGACAGTCGACGACAATAACGCAGATCATGATCTCAACATCGGAATAAACAATGTGCAGAATATTGATGAGTTTGCACATCGTAAACATATTTGACGGCAAATATAACATTTAAACTTTGAAAGCAAAACTTTGTGTTGCTTACAAGCATTGGTGCCTTTGTTTAGATAGTTGTATACCTTTGATTGTTGCTTAATTTTTTCATAACTTATTTTCCCAGAGTAGATTTATTAGTGTACTCGTTTTCTCCAAAGATATATAGCCGACATAGAAATTTTCGTAAGCGAATTCCTTAAGATTCGATAAGCTTTATATTCAGCTTTATAGGGTGCAGAAGTAAGAAAAAAAATCTTGAGTTTATAAAATATGGAAGTTGCCCGCGTAAAAAATAGCCTTTTGCTGCATTGTTGTTCCGACTTTTGAAAACGGAGAGGAATTAAGTCTTCGGGTGTCTTTGTTTTTTTTTCACACCTGCGAGAGCAAGTGTCTTGTAATCGGGAACTAGACTTTTTCCAGTTAACAAGTTTTACAAATCTGTAAGTGTTGCAGTTGCGTTATTAGTTGACCGTAAAATTTTCGAGACTCCTTACCACTGGGCTTAAAGGTAACGCGGTTGCTTTTGTACCCTATGGTCTGGGATTCGAGACAGCAGGACTTTTTTTTTCAGTATGCTTGAGAAAACGTTTCTCGGGGAAAATGAATTCTCGGACTTACGTTGTCTGCTCATGTGCTGTCGACTTAGCTGGCACATTGGAGAAGGTTCTCATGCTGTCAGCAGTTTTCATTGTATATGCCAGTGCTTTTGATTTACTACTGTAATTTTTAAAATTAATAGCCGGGAAGTTGTATATATTTCCTTAGTTTTTTCTTTCGTTTTTTTTTCGTTTAAGAGCTTTCTGCGGCCTAAAAGATTCCGGATTATGTTTTATCTGCTTATTTTCTTAGTTGCCTGCTTTGTGTCGCTTAAAAACAAAATTGATTGAATTTTCTCTTTGAAAAATTCGGGTAGTTCGTGTGGAAAGATTTCAAGGTTTTAAATCTTAACTTGTTGAAATGAAAAAAATTTCATGGCAATTAATTTGAACAATTTAAGTTGTAAAACTATAACAATATTTTTGTTTTAGACTCAATGGGACTCTACCCATTTTTTGTCGGCTTAGTTGCGTCGCTGTGAACGCTAAATCTTATTTCTTGTGGTTTTGACGGTTTTCCTATCACATTAGAGAACCACTGTTTTATATATCATATTGGAGGTATTTCAGTCGTAACTCAAAATGCGGACGCCCCTTACCCCTCAGGGATTCGACCCCTAACCAACTAAAGGATCCTGCTTTTGCTATTATTTTATGACATCTACTCTCGGCCGACCGACCCTTATGTTTTTCTGGAGGCACCTTTGGCGCCAATATTTAATTAGTTTGAAGGTGAGCGCTCGCAGAAAATTTGAGTTTTTGGTGGAACTTTTCTTATAAATGGCATTTTGGCCCTGTTTATTCAAAAATTTGCCTGAGACACAAGAAAAATGTTCAATTTAGGGTCTTTATAAGTGATATCGTAGAACTCGGTAAATCAATTTGGTCGACCTTAAAAAACATACACAAAATTTTTGATTAATTTTGAAAATCCGCCCCCTCCCTCGAGAAAATCCTAGATCCGCCCATGAAACCACGCAAAAGGTCCTATACATCTGTGTGATTACGTCTCAAATGGCATAATTCCCAAATGGCATAAAAAGGAAAAATTTCCCAAATGGTATAAATTTCATGCAACAGTTGCATTAAAAAAATCGGAGAACAAATTTTTGATGAACAATATGAGAAAATTTGTCAAGTTGTCAATAAAAATGTTGATTGACTTTTTATCTCGAAAAAAATGCAGAATTTTTTAATCAAACGCTTTCGGTTATTGGTTAGCTTCTTGTGGTCAAAATAAAGAATCTTGCCAGAAACTGATAGAAAACGTTTGACTTACAATGAAAACTTAGAATTTATGCCATTTGGGAAAAGTTTCTTTTTTTTATGCCATTTAGGAATTATGCCATTTAGGAAGTTACCATCTGTGTTATCTAAAATTGGGTTCTGAGTTTGAAATTAGTGGTGTGAAACTTCTTGCGCATTATTGTGATTGGGTATGCAACGTCGTTTCAAGGTTTTTCATTGCAATTTTTTGGTCCCATTTTTACTGTAATCAGATTAAAATCTTGAGAAAAATTTATTTCATAGTCTAGGGCCAAAGTGGTCCACTTTAACTGTACCATAAACTAGATACGATTCAACCTAAGGTACCTCCACAAATTGGCTTAATAACTTTGCAAAGCTGAAGGTATTAACTAGTGTACATGCAACTTCTTGAGTAAACGTGACTAAGTAAACATGGGTTACCTTTCAAAAGTAAAACTGAGATTAATTAGTTGGTAGTTCAAGAAAATTTCTGGCGAAGTCAAGCGAGCTGATTTCTGCATTAATGGTAGAGATATACATTTACGGTAATTTTTCTGTGAAAATGATCTCATGTTGGACGCAAAAAAAAAACGGTCAGTTTGAAAGTTTTTGTTCATAATTTTGAGTAAAAAGTAAAGGTTTACTCAAAACTAATTCAGAAAAAAAAGAGCCAGCATTTTTGAACAGGTATACTGTTGCGAAGATAGTCAGCTTGCAGAATATGGCCAAAAAGGCATTTTTTTACTCAATCGGACGTTCATGGCAAGATAAGAAACAGCTAAATCAGAAACACGCGTTTTGAAGCATAAGTACACAATATAATTAAACCAAAATTTTCACCGATATATAGGTATCCAACTATTTTGAAACCATCAAGAAGCTATTGAACAATTGTACCATGTCGGAAGGAGCATCTGCCCATCTTCATATGCAAGAACTCAAATTTTTCATCCTTTGCAGGATTTAAATCATAGCAGGATTTAAATAATAATATTGTATTGCTTTAATTACTAAAAAATTAAAGAAAATTTGCACGTCAAAATCTTGATATGCAAGAAAAAAATAAGAAGTGTTTCAAAGCGTTTGAATCAATTGTCTGAGGTGTCTTCATCAGCTGACTGCGGGGTCATTCTAAGTTGTCTTTTTAGCAATCCATTATACTTGGTAGTTTGAGTTTTCAGTCTTTTGTTTGAAATTTACCTGAGTAAATGTGTCTCATTTAACGTTTTTTCGCCTTCGCTAGAAGATAGCAGTTTTTTGTATATTTTTTCCTCGTAAGCACTGCTTTGCAGTAAAATTTACTCATCAATTTTTTCCTTTGTTTACATTTTTTACCTTTATTTTTAAAGTAGCGTTTCACATTAAGTTTTTTTAAGGTAGATTTGCGAGGAATTTTTTTTGATGCCACCCACTTGTCGTTCTGACTTTCCATGAACGTTTTCATAACAGCTGAAAGTTACTCTTGTCGGAAACTCGAATTCGGAAAAACAAACTCTTTTCTGATTGTTTTTTGCAAAGGCATGTTGGGTTTGAAAACTGCTATTTTGGTTAATGGTAAATTCTTGTAACACGCGTAAGCGTCAGATTAAATCGCTTCAAATTGATTTAAGATAGGTCATTTAAACTCATTTTTAAGATAATGAGACGCTAAACACATTCTTTTCCACTTTACAAAGCGTGTAGGGATCAAATGAAACTTGTATGATCAATTAACAACTAGAATTAGAATATTTAATGTGCAAATGCGGAAAGTAAACGTAGAGACTTAATCATTGTAAGCGGAATCCACGAACAAATATTTCTTGCACAAAATAATTTGAAAATGAAACGATGAGGTTCAACCTGAAATGTAATTTATTTGGATTTTTCCATAAATTTGTTTATTTCGGTTGGCTTCTTTTTTCAAAATTTGAGATTGGAGAAATGTTGAGTTTTTCACCTATCATTTTTCTAGTCTTTGAGATTTAGATGGTAGATTTTAGCTGGGTAGAAATGTAGAAATGTTAGAACTGTTGCCAGTCAAGGAGATTGAAGTATTGGCTTTGACTGAGATTGAGTTAACTTGAATTGATTTGTTGTTAGTAAATAAGATTTAAATGTTGGCAGTAATTGAATTAAAAATGTAAGCAGCTAATGGATTGAAGTGTTCAAAATTCGTGCTGCTGACCCACACAAAACCAGATTGTTTTTAATTTGTTGAATAACTATACTTGTTATGGGTTTTTACGAACAACATGCCATGCGGATTCCACTGGTAAATTGTGGGTCTCGCCTACAGTTGTGGGTTCCGCGACTGCGTAATTTAGCAAAGCACAAGCTAAATGATTTGCGTAAGGAATCCACCAACTGTTTCGGTTTTGCAAAATGTGTGCAATACAGTGTCCTAACTAATTATTCGTGGAATTAAAAACATCAGAGAAAGTAGAAAAGTCAGCGACAAAATTGCTTTTGGCTAGATGCGGAATCAGCTCACATCCCACAAAATGCACAGTTTGGCCTCATAATAGATGTTCAGAAGCTAAATTACGAAAGAGACAAGAAAATAAACCAATCTGATATACTGGCCCATTCTAACTCTGTCCTAACAAATAAGCAAGTTAACTCTCATAACCCGCACAACAGCCAAAACGACTCACCGAACCATTCTTCACAAATTTAATTTTTCAAAAATAACTAATCGCGGTACTGACAAAACAAAAATTTATTCTCAGAAATTATCATTTTTATGTCACAGGATGTTTTTTAAAAAAATTGCGAGAAAAATTTTGAGCAGATCCTTTTGAAATTTTGTTTTTTTTTTTCAGTTTTTTTTTCTGGAATGCATGATAAACTAACCACTACGCTTAGAACGTTTGTCTAATAGAGTAATGCTCAGCACACAAGCATTTCGATTCGTGAAACAGAACCGCTGTTGTGCACCTGGTTAGGAAATATCTACAATATTTTAGACAATTTTCCGGGCTGAGACTTTTGCAATTAACCTAATTGGTCTAACCTTATAGATTAAAAATCACACTTGCAAAAACATATCTATTACAATCGGGTTCTAAACTTTTTCCGCATGACTATCTGGTTTCACAGGACTCACTGGACTCGTTTTTTGGAAGCCTCTGTTAGCAACAAAATTTCTGCAACAGACATATTTTTGACATATTTAGTTTCTGCAACATGCATTTGAAGTTTCCTTTTCATGTTGGTTGTGATTTCACCATCGTGATTTTTTAAAGTTTTCATTTTTGTTGTTTTTTTGTTGTAATGTTTCGTCTTGATAGGCTTCGGTCTATATTATATCGGCTTAGTGACCTCATATGGCTT